AGTACCCCGACCCCAGAAACACTACCCCAACCCCAGACCTACTGCCCCCAGAATGTAAGAAAGTACCCCAACCCCAGAAACACTACCCTGACCCTGACCTACTGCCCCCAGAATGTAAAAGTACCTCGATCCCAGAAACACTACCCCGACCCCAGACCTCCTGCTCCTAGAATGTAAGAAATTACCTTGATCCTAGAAACCGTACCCCAACCCCAGACCTACTTCCCCCAGAATGTAAGAGATTACCCCGACCCCAGAAACACTACCCCAACCCCAGACCTACTTCCCCCAGAATGTAAGAAATTACTCCGACCCCAGAAACGTTGCCCCAACCCCAGACCTACTGCCCCCAGAATGTAAGAAAGTACCCCAACCCCAGAAACACTACCCTGACCTACTGCCCCCAGAATGTAAGAAAGTACCTCGATCCCAGAAACACTACCCCAACCCCAGACCTACTGCTCCTAGAATGTAAGAAATTACCTCGATCCTAGAAACCGTACCCCAACCCCAGACCTACTGCTCCTAGAATGTAAGAAAGTACTCCGACCCCAGAAACACTACCCCAACCCCAGACCTACTACCCTCAGAATGTAAGAAATTACCTCAACCCTAGAAAGACTACCTCAACTCCAGACCTACTGCTCCTAGAATTATTCGATTACCCCAAACCCAGAAACACTACCCTGACCCCAGACCTACTGCCCCCAGAATGTAAGAAATTACCTCGATCCCAGAAACACTACCCCAACTCCAGACCTACTGCCCCCAGAATGTAAGAAAGTACTCCGATCCCAGAAACACTACCCCAACCCCAGATCTACTTCCCCCAGAATGTAAGAAATTGCCTCAACCCCATAAAGACTACCCCAACTCCAGACCTACTGCTCTTAGAATGTATTCGATTACCCTAAAACCAGAAACACTACCCCATTCCCAGACCTACTGCCCCCAGAATGTAAGAAATTACCCTGACCCCAGAAAGACTACCCCTACCCCAGACCTACTGCCCTCAGAATGTAAGAAATTACCCTGACCCCAGAGGGTCTACCCCAACCCCAGACCTACTGCTCTTAGAATGTAAGAGATACTCTGACCCCTGAAGGACTACCCTAACTGCAGACTTACTGCCCCCAGAATGTAAGAGATTACCCAAACCCCAGAATCACTACCCCAACAGCAGACCTACTGCCCCCAGAATATAAGATTACTCCAACTCCAGAAAGACTTTCCCCAACTGCAGACCTACTGCCCCCAAATTGTAAGTGATTATCCCGACCCCAGAAACACTACCCCAACCCCACACTACTGCCTTCAAAATGTAAGGAACTGCTTTGACATAATGTATACTACCCCAACCCCAGCCCTACTGCCCCTAGAATGTATTAATTACCCTGACTCCAGAAACACTTCCCCCCCCAACCCCAGCCCTACTGTCCTCAGAATGTAAGGTATTAACCTGACCCCAGGAACACTTCCCCAGCCCCAGTCCTACTGCTCCCAGAATGTTAGAGATTACCTAAACCCCAAAAACACTACCTCCAAAATGTCAGGAACTGCTTTGACCTCAGAGATAATACCTCAACCCCTGACCTACTTACCTACTGCCCCCAGATTGTAAGTGATTGTCATTATGGTATGACTAAGGCCTCAAGGGCAAGACGCGTAAGCCTCTGTATCCTCTATTCACCCCGTAGCAAATAATTATTTTCACATTTGGATGACTTCATATTTCTGGCTACTCATCTTTTTTTTCAACTTGAGTATAGCAGATTTCTCCGACCATAGAAACGCTACCCAAACCCCACACTTACTGGTCCAAAAATGTAAGGAACCGCTCTGACTTCAGAGATACTACGCCAACACCTTACCTACTGACCCTAGAATGTAAGAGATTATCACAACCCCCAAAACACTTCCCCATCCCAAGACCTACTGCCCCAAGAAGTTAAGGAACTCCTCTGACCTCAGAGATACCACCACAACCCCAAACTTACTGCCATCAAGAATGTAAGAAATTTACCCTTACCCCAGAAACACTACCCTAACCAATGACATATTGCCCCCAGGATGCAAGAAACTACCACAACCCCTTAGATATTATAACATCTCCAGACTTACTGCATCTAAAGTGTAAGGAATGAGTCTACTTTCTCCAGAACATGAAGAACGACCCTATCCCAGACCTACAGCCTCCAGGGTGTAAGAGACTAGCTAAACTCAAAACCCAACCCTAAACTCAAAACTATTCCCCCTGTAAAGTTAGAAACTGCCCCAATTCTGAGCTACAGGCCCTCAGAATGTAAAGAAGCAATCTCAACCCTAGACCTACTGCCCACAGAATATAAAGAAATGCCTCAACCCCAAGACTAATACCTTAATTCAAGGCCTACTGCCCCCAGAATGGAATGGTCTCCAAACCAAAATTGCTGTCGACAGAATATAAGGAATGATCTCCGTGTCCAAGCTACTACCTACACCAAGGCTTACTGCCCCCAGAATGTAAGGAATGACTATGACCCCAAATCTACGGCTCCATCTGCTGCCCCAGAATGTAAGGAACTGCCCCAACCACACAGCTACTATCCTGACTCCATATTTACGGATTCCAGAAGGCAAAGATCCCAAGCTTGCTGAAGCAATTCCCTCAACCTCTCGCCCACTGCCCCAGAATTTAGGCAATGACCCAACCTAGGCCTGTTGCTCTAACACTAGGCCTATTGCAATGTAATATCAACCCTGGGTCTACTGTCTTTAGAAAGTAAGATGACTCTGATCCCTTTGGAGATGGATCTGATATCAGAGTCCCTCCAGGGACTGTATAGGAAGATCAGTATAAATTTTGTCAGGAATGAATAGCTGGAACACTGGCTCTTTGTTATAACATTGTACAATGTGTCTCTATGAGCCCTTTGCTGTCTCCTGGTAGGTAAATGAGTCGGCGCCAGTCACAGATCACAGCTGTTGGCATGTCCCCACATTGGTCACCCCACCACTGATACGTATTGATCTATTTAATGGAAGGATGAATGACACCCTCCTGACATCTCTATACGTCACTGCCCAGGAGCCGCTCACCATTGGGCACCTTGGCACCTCTGATGGGAGGGTGCTGCAAGTAAGTCACATTACATTGATCTCACGTCTGTATTTTATCACTTCTGATTGTACTGACAGGTCCTCTCTACCTCTCTATTAGGTGATTCTTCAGCGCAACAGCAACCCCCTGATCCTGTCCAACTTCTCTCTGAGCACTGAATCTGTGTCTCGGGAGGTGGCCCGCATTGGGGATGATCTGTTCTTTGTCACTGGAAAGCAGGTCAGTGCATGGAGCCAGGAGGGGAGTGATGAGTAGGGTGAGATACTAAAGAGTCCTCGTGTTATCAGCTCACTGATTTCACATCACTGATTACCTGGCATCCCCTGGTAATTGGGGACCCCCATGATGTACCAGTGCAGAGGGTGCAACCCCTCCTACAGGTCTCGGGTGTCTTGGTATAGAGATCTCAAGTTGTATATTTCACCTACTGGTGACATCCAGTACTGCAGTATGACCTTACAACAGAAATAGGTTTGTGAAGGCTACTATTCCTCCAGGCAGGGCTTTTTGTATCAGAGAATAGGCGTTGGAACTCCCCGTTCCAAGTCACCCCTTGTTTTCACCCCCTACCCACCTCCGAGCACCGTCCCTTGGTTCCACCCCCTACCCACCTTCCAATACCACCCATTTTAGGGAATATAGAACCAAGTAGCATTTTGTGGTAATGATAATGGTAGTTTGTTAATGATGACAAGAAAAAACGTAAAATAGATCCCATGCAGACAATAACAATAGATAAAAAACACAACAATAGATCTCTCGACCAACAATAGATCCCCCACAACAGTTGACTGCCTGCAACAAAATAGCACCCTAGCAACAACAGATTCACTGCAAAATCAATAGACCTCCAACAGCTACAACCGATCTCCAAGTAGCCAGCATCAGTAGACCTCTTACTTAACAGGTAGGTCCCTTCCAGCAACAACTGGCCACCAAGCAACATAAGACCTTCCAATAGCAATAATAGACCCCCCCTCCAACAATAGAGCTCCCCAGCAACAATTGATCCCCATGCAAGAATAGATGCCCCCAGCAGCAATGGATTCCCCAGCAGCTAGCATTAATCTATCCTCCAGCACACCCCAGTACCCCTTGCCATTACATACATTCAGTGCTGGAGGTGTCGCAACTGCATCCCAACAGTTCCTGGTGATAAAAAGCCCTGCGTCCAGGTCATGGTATTAGTTGGTCACCTTCAACTCAACATGTCCCGTAATGTTGACGATGCTTCACTTCTCATCCAAGTGCATTCCTTGGTTCTTATGAGTGTTGGAAACAGGCTGCCAAATACACCACAGGACAGGGCCTAGTGCCATCTTCTAGAAGGCTGTGGTTTGTGGAGACCCCAATCGAATGGAGTTTTTCACCTTTAGGTCACAGTAGATGTCCCAGTTGATTGTTCTTTGTAGAAGATTTGTTTGATTTGGGGCTTGTGCATACAGGAGACTTTTGTATGTGTGAGAACTGCTTTCCTTCCCATACAAGTCAATAGGAATGCCAAAAGCAACTTGGAAGGAGCTCACTTTCAGATGTGAAGGAACTTTGATGGAACTCAGAAGCATCTCCTATCCAAGCTCAATGTATTTAAAGCATTCAACGTCTTTAAAGCCCTTAATTGGATCATTACTCCATGATAAGTCAGATCGGGGTGTCTGTGTCCGGTATAAACATGCACTTTTGGCAATACAAGGCAAGCTTACATGGCTGTGAAGACATAGGATGTTCAGCAGTAGGAAAGTTCATGTCCAGTCTGCCTTTTGATGTTTTGTATGACACTCATGTCTGACCTTCCCTTCAGGTGACAAAGGTCAGCGTCACAGTGCCAGGATGCCGCCAACTCCTCAGTTGTAGTCGCTGTCTTCGTGCCCCTCGTTTCATGGGCTGTGGCTGGTGTGCCAATGGCTGCTCTAAAGTGTCGGAGTGTCAGGGAAAATGGAATCAGGACTTCTGCTTGCCCATAATTAATGATGTAAGTATCCCTGTGCTGCTTACCCCCCTCCATATACTTCCCCAACAGACCTGCATCCCTGATAGTTATACAACATTATATTTCAGATAGTCAACATTTGTAGCAATGCAGGACATCAATGAAGTTAAGACATACTTGACTGTCTTGAACGTATCGCATTAATTCTCAGTGTGTACAAATCAAGAGTTAAACCACCCAAAAATGATAATTTGGTTATAGGCAGAAGATAAACCCACAACTGTTGGCTTGGTATATCTCTTGGAGACCCTGGTCTCTGCCTCTCATGCTATTTCTGGTTCTTTAGGATTAAAGGTCGCCTGCCCACCTCGGGGCGTCCCCACTCCTCTTTTTTTTTTCTTCCCCATGATATATAGTTTTTTCTCTTTGTATTACTCTGTGCTCCTTTGTTTTATGTATTGGCTGACAATTGAGAAAAGCAGCCATGACCCGCTCTCCATATACACACATAGCAGTCTGGGTATTGCATTTAGGAAAGTTAACCTGTGGCTTTCTTCAGTTTCATCCTACAACGGCTCCTCTCCGTGGCAGCACCACAATCACCATTTGTGGAAGAGATTTCCAGTCCCATCAGGTGTACAATGAGCCAGCCAACACGCCGGTTACGGTGGAGACGCACAAAGTGATGGTCGGCCAGCGGACCTGTGTTGTCAATCCAGAGCAGAGCGACACCAGAAGGTAATAAAGCAGCAACACTTCTAATCTGTTCCTTTACGCAATCATTTCCTCTGCCTTCCGGTCCACTGTGGCTTCTACTCCTCCTCATATCACCAGGATCGCTCCATTTATTTTTATCATTATATTATCTACTAGGGTCATTGGTTCGAAATTCGAATCCCAACGATGGCACTGCCTGCATAGAGTTTGCATGCTCTCCCTGTGCTCGGGTGGGTTTTCTCAGGGTGCCAGCGTTTCCTTCCCTACTCAAAAGGCATACATGAAGGTTAACTGGCTGCTGTCTAAATTGGCCGTAGTATGTGTATGTAGGAATGTGAGTTAGGGACCTTAGATTGTACACTCCTTCAGGGAAGGGACTGATATGAATGAACAATATACAGTATCTCCCAGAAGTGAGTCCCCCCCTTCACATTTTTGTAAATATTTGATTCTATCTTTTCATGTGACAACACTGAAGAAATGACACTTTGCTACAATGTGACGTAGTCAGTATACAGCTTGTATAACATGTAAATTTGCTGTCCCCTCAAAATAACTCAACACCCAGCCACTGATGTCTAAACCGCTGGCAACAAAAGTGAGTCCACCCCTAAGTGAAAATGTCCAAACTGGGCCCAAAGTGTCAATATTTTGTGTGGCCGCCATTATTTTCCAGCACTGCCTTAACCCTCTTGGGCATGGAGTTCACCAGAGCTTCACAGGTTTCCACTGGAGTCCTCTTCCACTCCTCCATGACGACATCACGGAGCTGGTGGATGTTAGAGAACTTGCACTCCTCCACCTTCTGTTTGAGAATGCCCCACAGATGCTCAATAGGGTTTAGGTCTGGAGACATGCTTGGCCAGTCCATCACCTTTTGTATGGAAATCCCATAGAACAGGGGTGCTGTCAATCAACACCCTTGTAGGAGGTGCAGGAGACTGGCTTGATTTTGTGGTCTTTGGTGCAGCCTATGAGTGTCAGTGCATTTCCCACCCTGGAGCTCGTATGTCAGGGTGGCTACACTGGGCACCCAGGGAGACTCTGCTAGGCAGTGTAGCCACCAAAGAGGAAGAATTTAAGTATACTGAAGTTGGATGACCCATTTTCTTGGGATGACCGGCTGAAGCCAAAAAGGGATAGTAAAATAGAACTTAATTTTAGCGCTTCAAAGGTTCATTATATCCTTGAAAACCACCTTAATCACACCTTCCCAATTCACTCGAATAGGAAAATGCCCAAATGGTGAAATATTGCTGAAATGTCTCATTTTCTGCCAAAATTTCACCAAAGCAAAAACTCCCAATTTCACTTATTCCTAGAAGTGACTATTTTTCTTTTTTTTTTTTTTTAAATTGGTTTTAATCATTTTTCTGGAGGTTGAATTGAGTTCTTTGGGTTCATCACTATCAGTTTAAGGCCTCATGCACACTGGATGTTATAAAAACAAATAAATTAATTAAGAAATAGCATTGCACAAGTTTTGTCGTGTTTTTTTAGCATTATTGCATTAGTGTTTTTCAGCATTTGCGTTTCTTTAATGTTGTTTTTTTAGCAAAGCTATACTCCATTAAAAGCTTGAGGCTCAAAAAATGGAAGGAGATGACCACTTCTACTATTCCATCTACACCATGGTCAAGAGGTTCATTGAGATCCCACAGTTCAAAGCTGCAACAATGGAGTTCTTCAGGAGATTGAAGATGAAGGCCTGGGTCACACTAGAGGCTCAAAAACACTCAAACGCTGGATAGCTGTGTTTTTCAGGCTTTTTTCAATGTTTGAGCATTTTTACAGCTCAAAAAACTCCTCTTGAAACCCACTATTTCTGGGGTTTTTTTTCCAGCCAGAAAATGCCCCCGCCAAAAAACATAGATTAAAGCCTATGTATGCATGGACACATAGGTTAACATGCTGGGGCGTTTACTGGCTGTAGAAAAAAAAAACGCCAGAAGCCAAAAACAGCCGCTGTCAAAACGCCCCGTGTGCATGAGACCTAATTGGTAAAATAATGTTGTTTTTTTTGCCCGAATATAGAGATTTTCTTTTTCTTGTGTCTACCCAGAAGGTAATGATGGATGGCGGAGAATGAACTGCCTTGTGCCAGGATTTGACATGTTTTCTTCTTCTTTTGTTGGCAGGCTGGTATGTACGTTACAAAGAGACGGCCTTCCAGATTCTGCGTCACCTGCAGATGTCATTGTCACCATCAGAGAAAATCTAAAAGATGTTAATTATTACATAGATGGAAGTGCTGCGGCGAGTGGATTCACCTTTGTGGTGAGAATTCGCCCCAACTGTCAGGGTTACACAGTGCGGAGGTTTCTGGGTCACCTCTGCTCGGGGAGGGGGAAGACAGAACAGGCAATTGTACCCCATTAGATGCAGCTGAGGTTCACGACAGGCAAGCTGGGAAGAGATGCTACACTATAGAGATACTATACAGACACACACTGTATGATGAGTTCTTAATAAATCTTTTGGAGCTTTCACCTGTAATTGAGCATTATTTGGATATGAAAGATCTCTAAACCTATGAAGAAAGATGTAATATATTGCAGTCCTTGAGTATGGTGGCTGCTTTAGTTTTCTCATTTCAGTTTTTTTTTTCCCCCATTTTTTTCACCTTGTGAGTCTGTCAGTAACCCACTTTAGTTGTGGCAAAGGATTAGAACGATCATGTCTTATTACACCAAAACATCAAAAGGGCCCCCTTGTGTCCCCAACTCTCTCCGCATTGATGGAGAAGCCACCTTACTTCCTGCAAGTTTGTTTTTTTAGCTTTTGGATAGAGTATGGAAATGGTTTATAGTTCTGTCTGGGCCTTCTTTACTAAAACTTTTCTTCACTTCCTGTCGCTGTGACACTCGTACAAGAAATATGGAATGTGAGTGTCACTGGACTGAAAGACCGAGAGACCAGAAGTATTGTTGGAGGTTCTGACCCTTCTTCTCTTTACTTCAAATGTGTTTTTTTTTTTTTTTTGGAGTCTGTGAAGTTTTCTATATATCCAGGTCATGGCATAGTTAGTATTACTTAGTCTCATTCAACAGGACTTGTTCAGTAATGTTGTAGATGCTTGGTAGCTTATCCAAGTTCTACTGAATGTCAGAAAGATGCCTCAACATTTATATCCACACAAGTAGCACTAACCATTTAAACTAGTCGCCATGGAATGTGCCAAGTTATACAGCATGTTAGTTGCCTTTGTAGGTTCCTGTTTATCCAGGTCATGATATGCTGTAACTAGTAGTATTTATATTAAACTAGATTTGTTTTGTAAAGTTTAAGATGTCCAGTAGATACTCCTCCGGCATTTATATCCACCCTGGTAGAGCTGACACCTTAATCCAATCTCAAGACCAGTGTTCATGAACAACAGGGTTCTCTTTGAAGGTTCCTAAACATCCAGGTCATGATATATTCAGTAGTAGTTGGTCACATTCATCTGGACTTGTTCCGTATGGTTGTAGACATTTGGTAGCTTATCCAAGCTACTTCTTCAGATGTACTGAATGTCAGGAAGAACATTTTAGTCCAGTCACCATAGAATGTTTCAAGGTTGCCTTTTGAAGGTTCCCGTTTATCTGGGTCATGATGTAACTAGTAGTACTTAGTTACATTAAAATAGATTTGTTCTGTAATGTTGAAGATGTTTCATAGCGCCTTCAAGTCAGATAGATACACCAGCATTTATATCCACACAGGTAGCAGTAACACCTTCATTCAGTCACCATGGAATATCTCAAGGCAGATGTTGATTGTTCGAGAACAACAGGGTTGTCTATGAAGGTTCTTATACATCCAGGTCATGGTATATCTAGTAGTTGGTCACATTCAAATGGACTTGTTCTGTAATGTTGGAGATGTTTCATAGCTTCTCCCAGAAACTTCTTCAGTTTTAGCGAGTGTCAGGTATATGTTCTTACCAGGGGCGGACTGACCATTTGGAAACTTGGGCACTGCCCGGGGTCAGTAGGGGGCCCCATGAGATGCCCCTGGTACCTTTTTCATAGGCTTTTTTGAGTTTGGGCATGGACACAGGGGCCCCATGATCCCCTATTGCCAGGGGGCCCCATGAGTTGTCAGTCCGCCCCTGGTTCCAACATTTACAGTATATCTGCACAGGTAGCACAGATATCTTCATCCAGTCATCATGGAATAAGTCAAGGCAGATGTTCGTTTTCCAGGAGCAGCAGAGTTGTCCATGAGGAAGGTCATCCAGGTCGTGATATATATAGTATTGGTTGGTCACATTCAACTGAACTTGTTCTGTAAAGTTGAAGATGTTTCTTAACTTCTCCAAGCCACTTCTTCAGTTCCAATGAGTCTTGAGAAAATACCCAAGCATTGATATCCATATAGGTGGCACCAACACTTGAATCCAATTACCAATGAAAAGCAGATGTTCTTGTCTAAGAATTAAATGGGAGGTGTGAAAATTGTCAAACTGCCTAGTTACATTATATAGGCCAAGCTTTCTTACACCTTTAGGAAAGGGACACTTTGGCTTTTGAAGACAATGAGGTGCACATTTTGAAGAGGGAGGACAACTGGTTCTCAATAGGTGCAGGAGACCATCTAAGTCAAACTGGAACAACCATAATTGAACAGGGTTGGAGGCCTTCAACACCACCTGTCTTATAAATATAATGCTGTATTCATTTCCTTACCCTGGTATTTTTAACAATTTACACTTTCAGCCATGTAAATCAATGGATTAACATTTAATGAAGCCATCCTGAAATCAAGAATGGTATTATGTAACCAGAACAGGGTTGTAGGCAGGCGCGGTTAGCTAGTCTGCCACTAAGTGGCCTTGTTCCAGAATAGTGTCTGGTTACAGGAATCAGTGTCATCAGGTGCTAGGCCCCTTTTAGTTAGATCCTCCTGTAGTGATGTAATGAGTGAGTCAGTGCCCAGATATAGGCCAGATGGGGAGGAGCCCTAGTGCAGTTGGGGCATGGGAGAAAACACCCCCCACCAGCATGTGGAGACCCTGACCAAGGCTGGAGGTTAGGGAGAAGTAGATCTGCACCCAGGAGAGCAGGGTGGGTTGCAAAAGGCCTTTCAGGCCAGGCCAAGTTTTCCCTGAGTGAGTCTATTCCTGGCAGAGGTGTACCTATGGAGGAGGTGACTACAGAGATCCTATTTCTGTAAGTACTAATGACCCCGGGTGGAATGAGAGACTGTTAGAGGGGGATAGCTGCTTTCACATATGACTGCTGCAGACTGTCCACTAAATGTGATTGACTATGTACTGTAAAATGACTCCAGAATGTATGTCGATGCAATGTGACTGTTTATGCCATTTCCTAAGCATCAACAGAAAAGTGCAGAAACCCTATTCATATGTGGACGTGACTTTCTTGGGGATATAAAGGTCAAAGGCCGGGAATGTTGTGTGGAGGCCTCTGATGCAGAGTGGGGCACAATATGGAGGAGGGTTTAGCCTCAGCAAGAAGTTTAGTGTTCTAGCAAAGATAGGAGCGGGGCAGGGACTTGTGCTTTGGCGCCAACATCCAGCCAATTGCAATGCCCCTCTTACAGGGTGGTTCCACGCTGTCCTTAGACAATAATATTGGCCTTTCCATGGTAACTGGATGAAGGTGTTGGTGCTACCTGTGTGGAAATAAAATTTCGGGGTATGTTCGTCACACTCCTAGAACAGAAGAAGTGTCTTGGAGAAGCTACGAAATGTCGTTAACGTGACAGAATAAGTCTGGTTGAATGTGACCAACTACTACTAGAAAGACAGGGTTGCTCCATCCTGTTCTTGGGCAATTAATATCTCCTGAGTGTGTGGCAATCGGATTAAGGTATATGTGCCTATCTGTGTCCACTCCTTAGAACTGAAGTGGGCTGGGTAAGCTTTGGAAAATCCTTAACATTACAGAACAAGTCCAGTAGAAGGTGACTATCTCTTGGCCTTTTGACATTTCTATGGGTGCCAAAGACAGGAGCCAATGTGGAATTCTTCCCAAGGCTTTAATCATACTAAGGCCAGCCTTGGAAGGAACAATCTGATCTGATCTACTGCACAGAACAAGGCACCAGTACATCTCTCATATCTTGTATTTCTGCAGGAGCCGGTCCTGACCTCTGTCTCTCCATCCTTTGGACCTCTATCTGGTGGATCTCTATTGACACTAAAGGGGAAGGACCTGAGGGCAGGGGAGTCTCAGCGCGTGTATATTGGAGATGCGGTGTGCAGCATGTACAATGAGTGAGTAGTGTGATACTGGCTTCATCCTGCTGATGGTGGGACTCATGAGGATGGATGGTTGTGAGTGAGGACTTTTGTAAGGAACATGAATGGTCAGCTTACAATGATATGAACTTGTTTTTGAATCTAGTATTCCTCTTTCAGGTCTTGTCCCGCTGGTGACTTGTGCTGTCAGTCCCCTCCTGCCTTCTCTGTTGGACCAGTAAATATCACGCTTTGGTTGGACAAAGCTCAGCTCTCTTACACAGAACCATTCATCTACAAACCTGACCCCGTGGTCCATAGTATCCAGCCTAATTGCAGCTTAGTAAGGTGAGTTCCAGAATTCCAGATATCTCACGATGTCCTGTATGTGTGGACTTACTTTGGAGCTGTGTAAGGGGGATGAAAGTAGTTGTACATACCTACTGCTCACAGATCATAACTTATACCTTGCCTGTCCTATAGAGCAGGGGGTCTCCAAACTTTCTAAACACAGGGCCAGTTTGCTGTCCTTCAGACTTCAGGAGGGCCAGAATGTGGCCAGTGGGAGTAGAAAAGATCCTGAAATTAGTGGGCAAAAACAAAGCCCCATCTTTGGTGTGAATGGGAGCAATAGTGCCGCATTATTGGTGTCAGTGGGAGGAATTGTGGCCCATCATTAGTGTCATTGGGCCCCATTGTTGGTGGCATTGGAAGAATTGTGCTCCATCGTTGGTGGCATTGAAAAATTGTGCCTGTTGATTGCCATCAGTGGGGGGAATTATGCCCCATTGTTGGTATCAGTGGAGGAAAATAGTGCCCCAAGGGCTGAATAAAGGCAAGCAAAGGGCTGCATCTGGCCCCTAGGCTGCAGATTGGAGACCATTGCACCAAAGGGTCAGTTGTCAAGGGTCCGTCAAGGGACTCAGTGTGTGAGGTCGGGGCAGCAACGTACAGTCTCCCATATTTGTATCCCGCCAGGTTCCTATAAAGCATAACTGAAGGCAAAATCTTTTTTCTTTTAGTTTTTAGGTACATGGAGGAGGGTTGGAACATCTGTCAGATTTTTATTGCTTTAGTATAAGCCCAAATCTGCGCTCAGAGAAAAATAAACACCGATATAAAGCAGCTGGACACTGTACCTTGATACAAGTGTTCAAATAAAGTGCAGCGCTCAAAAAGCAAGACTCATATCCTACAGAAATCATAATAATAATGATAATACGTGAAAAATGATAAATAATCACAAAGTGTTCATAAATAATCGTATAGTGAAAGCAGATTAGATCGGTCCCCACGTGCTGTGACGAGATCAGAAGACTTCCAAAGATAGCCATTGTGACACCATCCACTCCCATGCAAGGCTTACCAGAAGGTTGGTGACCCCTTTCTAAGAAGGTTGGTGACCCCTTTCTAAGAAGGTTGGTGACCCCTTGCTAAGAAGGTTGGTGAACTCTTGCTCCGCCACACACACTACCACGCATGCGCGATTGGCCGGCAGCCATTTTGGATGCTGGAAAGACTTGTTTTAGTGTTTTGTACATGCTAACGTGTGCCTTCTATCATGTGAGTGCAATTTTACTTGAATGCATTTTGGATCTTTGATGGTCTTGCACTATGGAGAATTTGTTCATTACATGCACAATACTATGAGCTCCGGTTTTAATTAATTCATCTTGGAGTGGTTGGAGCCATTATGTCTAGTGAGATTGATTTAGGAGGAACATCTGTTATTACCTTGGGTGGCAAGAGGAGAAGTATGATCGTCCATTTTCCTTGATGTCCTCAACAATATTTTATAGAGCACAGATTGACCACTCTTAGCAAGGGGGACACAAACCTTCTTGGCAAGGGGGACACAAACCTTCTTGGCAAGGGGGACACAAACCTTCTTGGCAAGGGGGACACAAACCTTCTTGCAAGGGGGACACAAACCTTCTTAGCAAGGGATCACAAACCTTCTTAGCAAGGGGTGACAAAACTTCTTAGCAAGGGGGTAACAGACCTTCTTAGCAAGGGGGTCACAAACCTTCTTGGCAAGGGGGGTCACAAACCTTCTTGGCAAGGGGGTCACAAACCTTCTTGGCAATGGGTCACAAAACTTCTTAGCAAGGGGGTCACAAAACTTCTTAGCAAGGGGGTCACAAAACTTCTTGGCAAGGGGTTCACAAACCTTCTTGGCAAGGGGGTCACAAACCTTCTTGGCAAGGGGGTCACAAACCTTCTTGGCAAGGGGGATCACAAAGCTTCTTGGCAAGGGGGTCACAAACCTTCTTGGCAAGGGGCTCACAAACCTTCTGGTGAGCCTTGCATGGGAGTGGATGGTGTCACATTGGCTATCTTTTTAAGACTTCTGATCTCATCACGGCATGTGAGGACCGATCTAATCTGATTTTTATTGCTGTCGGTGTCCCTGCTTAGCAAGTCATCCTCTCTATTTGTTCTGGTGACCAATATCGTCGATGGTGAAAAAGAATCCCAAATTTTGGGTTGTCACCAGTACAGGAATAGAGTGGAAGCTTTGCAATTGGGACTCTAGTTCTGGTGACAACTAGATGTTTCCTCTCACTTCTTGTTGAGGCCATGTGAAAATGAACGGACTTGTCCCCAATAGGACACAAATGGCAAAAGTTATAGCTAAATACGCATGGTGCCACTTGTATGCCGTTGTTTTATGTCATTCCTGTGCCTACGTGTCTTGGCTGTAATTTTTTGTACCCATTCAAATAAATTGACTGTTAAACAAAAAAAAAAAAAAAAAAACTACATGGTTGAGCTGTGTTTTTAACTCCCCCGGCTCCCCTTTAAGCTGCAAAGACATCAGAGGGTGGTGAACATATGCCACATCGCGGCATGGCAAGATGATCCCTACTGTCGTGCTGCCCGCTGATCCCAACCTATTCAACTGACTGAGGGTGCCCACAACCATGTGCATGGTTGCGGAGTGCAGTTCTGGGGTTTAGGGGAGTAAAGCAGTCGGTGATTCATCGATTCAACGCCTCCTCAACCTACCGTCAGTAGCCAGTGGAAGGGCTCATTGATGCAGGTGTTGCCTTCTGAAGAGCGATATTAATGAGGATCGCTCTTCAGAGGGCAGCACCTGTGTAAATGAGGCCTTACTCAATCAAGCAGAAGTAAAAGGCAAAACTTCTTTCCTCATTTTTGGATAAACTGATGGCATCCAGATGATGAATATTTTCTATTGTCCGGTCTAGACATAAAAAAAGGGGAAGGTGAGGGGGCTCAACATACGGCATTGTGTCACATGATCTGAGTGGCTCAGTCACGTGATCACATGACGTTGTATCCTTGCTGTGTCACGTTGTTATTGCAGAAAGCTGAACTCTGTGATCCTATGTTACCACTTCCCCTGAGTGATACAATGTTACCCAACTCTGCTCTGTGCTGTCCATGTATGGGGGGAATCAGGAAGTCTCCGTACGACAGAAGTGGGTGGATAGTACCGCCCCCCCCCTCTGTTATATCTCTTGTTACAGTAGTGGAAGGATAAGACTTCTTCTATATACCGACAGCAGGAAGAAAGTCTCTGTATTATGGGAATTCTCTAGATACCCGGTTACCATGGAAACTGGCAGAATTCACAAGCGGTTTGAAACTTTAGAACTATATATGAAGGACGGCTTTTCTCCCAGACCGGCTCGACTGACTTGCAGGGAAAAAATCTGACAGTTTTATACATGAACTGCCTATTAACCGTCACCCGATCTCCGTTCCAGGGGGACGTCGCTCACCATTCAGGGGTCCAACCTGGATTCAGTCTCCAAAGTCACCGTCTCCTTTAAAGGCATGAAGAAGGTCAGTATATGGAGCCGACCCGCATATTGTGTTCTGATTGAGTTCTGTGCCAGACCACACATGGACTGTTCCTTAAAGTGTACAAATTACGTCATAAATATCTTTGTCACCAACTTTAATATTGACATGTCACATAGAGAGAAACCCATCCCAATAAAAGCTGAACTCCGGGCACACAAAAAAAAAAAAAATTTAAATAAATTCACAATACACAAGGGATATAAATCCGCTTTGTTCACCACTTCCTTTACAAACCCAGATATTACCTTATGAAAATAGCATAGTTGGGCTGTACCTAGCCTGTGCAGAGTAGAGCTGTGGGAGGGGCTCGGCAGGCTCCACCCGCTACAGGCAACTATAGGAGGGGGCGGAGACCAGACCAGTCACCCTGCACAAGGAAAGAGGAGAGCTGTGGGAGAGGCCCAGCAGGCTCCACCTGCTACAGGCAACTATAGGAGGGGGTGGAGACCAGACCAGTCACCCTGCACAAGGAAAGAGAAGAGAGGTGTGGGAGGGGCCCAGCAGGCTCCACCCGCTACAGACTGCCTGCAGGCAACTTAGGAGGGGGGGGAGACCAGACCAGTCACCCTGAACAAGGAAAGAGAGGAGAGCTATGGGAGGAGCCCAGCAGGCTCCACCTGCTACAGGCAACTATGGGGGGGGGGGGGGGAGACCAGACCAGTCACCCTGCACAAGGAAAGAGAAGAGAGGTGTGGGAGGGGCCCAGCAGGCTACACCCGCTACAGACTGCCTGCAGGCAACTATAGGAGGGGGCGGAGACCAGACCAGTCACCCTGAACAAGGAAAGAGAGGAGAGCTATGGGAGGAGCCCAGCAGGCTCCACCTGCTACAGGCAACTATGGGGGGGGGGGGGGGGAGACCAGACCAGTCACCCTGCACAAGGAAAGAGAAGAGAGGTGTGGGAGGGGCCCAGCAGGCTACACCCGCTACAGACTGCCTGCAGGCAACTATAGGAGGGGGCGGAGACCAGACCAGTCACCCTGAACAAGGAAAGAGAGGAGAGCTATGGGAGGGGCCCAGCAGGCTCCACCTGCTACAGGCAACTATAGGAGGGGGCGGAGAGCCAGACCAGTCACCCTGCACAAGGAAAGAGAGGAGAGCTGTGGGAGGGGCCCACCAGGCTCCACCCACTCCTGTATGCCGCCCATTGAGAGCGCAGTGGGCATGGTGACGTCACTGGCCTCTGCAATTGTGAATAACTTCTAAGACCGTGCACGTTTAGGAGATCCTCGCTGTACCTCCAGGTAAGCCTTCTCATAGGATTACCTGCAGGTACATTTAATTAAATGGGACTTTACTACCACTTTAATTCATTTGCATGCCCCCACCAATCACACCGTCCCCTCTTCATAGCAGAGCCCTACCATTTGGCTCCAGTAGGGAGGCAGAGGGTGGGATGTTGAGGAGGATGTCTGGAGGAGGCGGACTTCCATGCATGCCACTTGCCAAGTATCAGAGTCATGCATTGCCACTGTGCAAGCTGGCCAGCTGCTAATACCATAGCCAAAAGTAACACTATGGGGGTTATGTACTAAAAGTGCAAAATCTGGTGCAGCCGTGCATAGAAACCAATCGACTTCCAGATTTCATTGCCAAAGCTTAATTGAACAACCTGAAGGTAGAAGCTGATTGGCTCCCATGCTCAGCCGCACCAGATTCTGATTGCACCAGATTTAGTAAATCTCCCCCAACGTGTCCTGGCCTAGGGCATCATCGGTTGTTTTTGGTGGTGGTGGCGGCTGTCCTACTCATACCATGGCCACACATGGCGTTGATCCAGAGCAAACGGTGTCCTGTGCTTGCAGCACCCCAGGGGAACCCTACTGGTAGTCCAGGGTTGGGAAGCATTGACCAGCTGCTAGCTGGGGCCTTAGTGTGAGATGGATAATATTTCATATATTCCATTTGTGGACGTGATGTATATAAACCGATCTATTCTGTCTGCAGGTGTGTGACGGACCCATTTCTCCAACCCGCATCCTCTGCTCCACCCCAACCCTGCAATACAATAAGGACACGTACGGGACCCTTGGTGTACAAATGGATGGATTCTCCTACAACCATTCAAGACTGTTCTCCTACTTCAAGGACTACCTCCTCCACCCTTTTGATCATGACGGCCGGCACTTTCAGCTGAAAAGAGGCGAGACGGAGATAAACACCCACGTAAGAACATGAGACGCTAAAACAATGATCACCATGAAAAAACCGCGGCGGGTTTTAGGTGATGATTCTTGCTGTTTAGATTCTGCGACAGAGATGTGCACAATGGGAAAAAAAATTGGTTTGTTTAGTTTCGGATCCGTTTATTAACGTTTTCGTTATATTAGAATGATTCATTTTCAGAATTTGTTTCCTATATTTGGATTCATTTTCTATATTCGTTATTTTCAAATCGATTTGAAATTTAAATTTTGGAAGACGGCTATATTCGTTCTATTATTTCTCTTAGTGGTGCACCAAAAGGAAAATTCCATTGCCAAAACTGAAATTTCAGCAAGGGAAAATGTCAGCAGCACACCGAGGATCACCAATACGGGTCCATAAGTTTTAATGAACAATCACATCAAGGCCACTACTGATACCACTGATAAGGCACTATTCCTCCCACTGACACCAATGATGGGGCACTATTCCTCCCACTGACACCAATGATGGGGCACTATTCCTCCCACTGACACCATGATGGGGCACTATTCCTCCCACTGACACCAATGATGGGGCACTATTCCTCCCACTGACACCAATGATGGGGCACTATTCCTCCCACTGACACCAATGATGGGGCACTATTCCTCCCACTGATACCACTGATAAGGCACTATTCCTTCCACTGACACCAATGATGGGGCACTATTCCTCCCACTGACACCAATGATGGGGCACTATTCCTTCCACTGACACCAATGATGGGACACTATTCCTCCCACTGACACCAATGATGGGGCACTATTCCTCCCACTGACACCAATGATGGGGCACTATTCCTCCCACTGACACCAATGATGGGGCACTATTCCTCCCACTGACACCAATGATGGGGCACTATTCCTGCCACTGACACCAATGATGTGGGGCACTATTCCTGCCACTGACACCAATGATGGGGCACTATTCCTCCACTGACACCAATGATGGGGCACTATTCCTCCCACTGACACCAATGATGGGGCACTATTCCCCCCACTGATACCAATGATGGGGCACTATTCCTCCCACTGACACCAATGATGGGGCACTATTCCTCCCACTGATACCAATGATGGGGCACTATTCCTACCACTGATACCAACAATTGGCACTACCCCCCCCCCCCCCACCACCAATAACCACGATGGCACACTCTTCCTACTCCTAGTAGACCATAGGTGCTATGTAATTTTTTTACTTCCACTGATTACACCAAGCCAAAGGCATTGGTTACTCCCACTGATGCTCGGAAATGTTCTGCTCCCACTGTCCACTGGCTGCCCCCCTGATTCCCCCCCAAAATCTGAAGGACAGTAAACTAGCCCTTTGTTTTGAAAGTTTGGAGACCCCTTATATAATGTGTGCTGATCACCATGAACACACAATGTGATGTGTTTGGGTTGTAGTGATGATTAGTGTTCTTTTTTTCTGTCCTCATTTTGTTCCTGTTAGCATGAAAACCTCCTTCGGGTGAGCAACTGTCTGAACATCTCCATGACCATTGGTGGACGAGAGTGTTACCCCAAAGTGTTGGACAACGAGATCACCTGTAGGCTTCCCAAAGATGTGGTGATCCCATCAGAGGGCTTGGTGGTCAAGGTACGCCTAAAGAAACTGTAATAGAATGGCTACTGGTGAACGTGCAGTTATTTCAGTCCTACAATGGTGGGAATATCCTGAGCCATGGACAGAGGATTCTCTGAAGGAGCCTTATTGACTCCACCATGGTCATTATTATTATTATTATACAGTATTTATAAAAGCGCCAATAGTTCGCTCAGCGCTGTACATTACAGAGGGGAACAGAACATGTGACAGAACAATACCAATACAAGAGGGGATCGAGGGCCCTGCTCTTTCAAGCTTACAATCTAGGAGGGGGGGGATGGTGGCACAGGAGGAGATAGCTGTGGGGGATGGAGTGGTAGGAAGAGTGGAGGAGGTCGGCAAGTTAGCAGGGGGCGGGGTAGGCTTCCCTGAAGAGATGGGTTTTCAGGGTGCACCTAAAGGAGAGGAGAGTAGGTGATAATCTGATGGGTTGGGGCAGGGAGTTCCAGAGGATGGGTGACACCCTGGAGAGGTCCTGGAGGCGGGCATGGGAGGAGACCAGGGAACTAGAGAGAAGGAGGTCTTGTGAGGAGCGGAGTGTGCGTGCTGGGCGGTACTTGGATATTAGGTCAGTGATGGTCATAGACACAATTGGTTTTAGGGCCTTTGTTGGGTGGAAGCCAGTAGTCCAACTGACATGTTTTGGGTTGTGGGATGAAAGAGGAATACCCAAATGTAATAAACATGTGTATAGAATGCAGACTCCATGTGGATCGTGTCCCTGGGGTAATGTGTGTTGTGTGGAAAAAAAAAAAACGATCCAAGAGTTGGGGAAAACAAAAAAGTTTTAGAAGCATCTCTGAAACCTTTGGCTGCAGTCCAACACGTTTCTGAGGCTGTAAACCCCTTCATCAGGGTATCAAAACATCACCAATGTAAAAAGTTTCATAGTGATAGGCACTCTTTTCTTTCCATCCTCAGGTGTGTGTGGACAACGTCTGCACCGAGCTGGGTAAAGTCATATATGTCAATCTTCTGGATCCAGTGCTGGGAATAGTCCTGGGAACGGTGGCCGCCTTATTGGTCTGCGCCATATTGGCCTTCCTGATCTGGAAGCAGCAGAAAGTTGGAGAGAAGAAAAGTAAGTAGATGGGGTTGTATGTATCCGCACACACACACAGCAATGGGAAGATTGTGATTGAACGTTCCTCACCCGTCTTGGCTTTTTATTTTCACAGTTGTAGAGAATATGGAATTATTGGTGAATAACAACAGAGAGACCATCTCCTCCCCCATCCATCCCAGCCACTCAATTCACATCGACTACAGGGAGTCTTGTAAGAGCACAAATTTTATTTTATTCCCATACACTCCTAGCTTCAAAGAGTATTTTACCCACGGCTTTTTTTCAGCGGGAACGCGGGGGGAGGGGAACGCATTTCCGGCACCCCCAGCACTGAATGTATGTAATGGTAAGGGGTGCTGGAGGGTCTTTTGATGCCGGTTGCTGGAGGGGATTTATTGTAGTGTGAGGTCTTTTGTTGCTGCTGAGGGATATATTGTTGCTGGAGGGTATATATTTTTGCATGGGAGATCTATTGTTGCTGGCAGGGGATCTATCGTTGGTGGGGAGGGTCTTATGTTTCTGGGGGGTCATTTGTTGCTGGGAAGGATCTAATGTGGAGGGAGGGATCTATTGCTGGTTGCGGAAGGGTTTATTGATTTTGGATGCTGGGAGACCTGTTGTTGCTGGCAGCAGTTTATTGTTGCTGGGGTGGATCTGTTGTTGCTGGGGTGGATCATAATGGGTACAGGCCCGGGAACTTGGCACATGGATTGCGGGGGAACCCTTCATAATGGCCACAGAGGGGTGTAAAGATCTGGGAACTCCTCATAATGGGCACAGTAGGTGTACAGACCTGGGAACTCAGCACAGGGATGGTGGGAACCCCTCATAATGGGCACAGTAGGTGTACAGACCTGGGAACTCACCACAGGGATGGTGGGAACCCCTCATAATGGGCACAGCAGGTGTACAGACCAGGGAACCCGGCACATGGATGGTGGGAACCCTTCATAATGGGCACAGTGGGTGTACAGACCCGGAAACTCAGCACAGGGATGGTGGTAACCCCTCATAATGGGCACAGCAGGTGTACAGACCCGAGTCCGTACACCTGTGCAAGACTGGAGAGGAAGAGCCGGTACATCTGTGCAAGACTAAAGGGGAGGAGCCCGTACACCCCTGTGCAAGACTGGAGGGGAGGAGCCGGCACACCTGTGCTAGACTGGAGGGGAGGAGCCGGCACACCTGTGCTAGACTGGAGGGGAGGAGCCGGCACACCTGTGCTAGACTGGAGGGGAGGAGCCGGCACACCTGTGCTAGACTGGAGGGTAGGAGCCGGCACACCTGCGCTAAGACTGGAGGGGAGGAGCCGGCACACCTGTGCTAGACTGGAGGGGAGGAGCCGGCACACCTGTGCTAGACTGGAGGGGAGGAGCCGGCACACCTGTGCTAGACTGGAAGGGAGGAGCCGGCACACCTGTGCTAGACTGGAGGGGAGGAGCCGGCACACCTGTGCTAGACTGGAGGGGAGGAGCCGGCACACCTGTGCTAGACTGGAGGGGAGGAGCCGGCACACCTGTGCTAGACTGGAGGGGAGGAGCCGGCACACCTGTGCTAGACTGGAGGGGAGGAGCCGGCACACCTGCGCTAGACTGGAGGGGAGGCCAGAGGTCAGCTCTAGAGAAGACCATCAAGAAATTTTAAACATTAGTGAAAGAATCGTAAAGTCTAGAAAGAAATGTTTAATTTGTAGGGATTGATGAGTTTCTTCTCCTGACCGTTCCTCTTTCCTGCTCATGTAGACGTCCCCAGCAGCAGCTCTGGTGGCGGGACCTTCCACGGGGCCCTTTACTCCGCAAACAGTATTGGGGCCAGTTCCATGCCGCTTCTCATCACCAACGTACTGGACAACCTGAGGCCGGAGCTGCTGGATGAGGTGAAGGACGTTCTGATCCCGGAGGGCCGTCTGGTCACGCACCGCGATCGCATCATTGGGAAAGGTGAGCACATCACTGTGTGAGATCGATTTCTGATGAACATCAATCAGGCAGTCTAGAACAGAGGACCTCATAGAATGAGACTTCAGTGGGGTGGTCCTTAGAGGGTTGGTCCACCCAGGAGTAATGTTTGGTGATAGGTGAAGCCTTGTGAGTCAGCGTCTGGCTTCTATATGTGTTGAATATTCCCCAGCGATGAGATCTTTCTGCCATAAATCCGGGCTATGTTCCTGTTCACCTGCGTGATTGGGGTGCTCCTGTCCTTTTGTGTGTTCTAGCTTCTCCATGCTACATTGTATAAAATATAGGAAGCATCCCCCTGCGCTCCACAGAACCTTTAACTTAAAGTCAGCTGCTATCACCTTTTCCCTATACCTTAGGATATGTGCAAATACAATTAATATATTTTGTGATGAAGCGCTCAACTTATATAGTGTATACAGACCCTTTTTACATCAATAATATTGTGAAAAATTCAAAATAGGTGCTTAATTCCCTCTTAAATTCTATAAAACTACACAAAATCATTTATATTGTTCTGTCCCCCTTTGTAATGTACAGCGCTGAGTGAACTATTGGCGCTTTATAAATACTGTATAATAATATAATAATAATATAAATAACTGGTGCAAATTCACTGGTGCTAATTATGCCCCCTAGTGGTCAAAAAACCGTGACAATTCTATTACAAATGATAACACTTTATCTGTGCAAAGTGATAAGTGTATCCAATTACATGAACTAAATCAAATAAACAGTCCAAAGACTTGTGATGCCCCACTGTGCAAATAATAAGTGTTCAATACACAGAGATTACAACTTCACTCCATGCTGCAAACGTGCTCTTCGTGACACTCTGATGCGACTCCCCTGGATTTAGCCAAAATGCCTCCTCACCTTCCGCATTCGACCCTTGCGGGTCACAAAGCCTTAAATAGATAGTATCTCAGCCAGGTTTTCATGCTCCACTGACTCCACCGACTCAATTAAGATCCCCCTCCAAGCAATGAATTCCTCTCAGATCACTTTCTTCACAATATGGACTCATAAGCACAGGACGTATATGTAGAAACAAAGACAAACCTCCATAGTGCAACACTGATTTAATGCACTTAAGATTTCAAAAACAAATGAACACTCACATGTCATCCAACAGAAAGAAGCAGTTCCCCATGTGCTAGGGGTGTACGAAGGTGTACCAAAATGGCGTCCAAACCCGGAACCAGAAGTACGTCACCACTAAATCGGAAATGCGTCGACGCGTTGCGCCACGATCACATGGCTTCTTCAATGATCTTCGCGATCGTGGCGCAACGCGTCGACGCATTTCCGATTTAGTGGTGACGTACTTCTGGTTCCGGGTTTGGACGCCATTTTGGTACACCTCAGTACACCCATAGCACATGGGGAACTGCTTCTTTCTGTTGGATGACATGTGAGTGTTCATTTGTTTTTGAAATCTTAAGTGCATTAAATCAGTGTTGCACTATGGAGGTTTGTCTTAATAAAATTTCATTGTATTACTTATACATCCCGCTGAATCTTGCTCTTTCTTGCCCTGTGAGGATCGGGGAACAATGCTCTGAGTTATTTGGAAGGAGAAAGCTGCTGTACCCTGGAGTATTTAAATGCTTTTTAAGAGATGAAAGAAGGTAATAGTTTTTTATTCCTACCAGAGTGGTGGCACTTATTTTGGATTGCGGATTATACATACTCACAAGTTGAGCACTTGCTGTGTATTTTATTCAAGTGTTGGCACTTTTTATACAAGTTTGGTTATTGTGTAGTGGATTCACCTCACGAGTGGGTTGTGTAGGTGGATTCACCCTAATTTTATTTACATAATTTCACACATTAGATTCACTAAAAGTAGAAATTTAAAAATAATTATTTTTTTTTTTTTCTCTCTCTCTCACGAGTGAATTTTTGCATGGTATCATAGTATTTGATTGTTGGTAAAAGTTAATGCACTATATCTAGTTTATTTTATTTGAGGTTCCTGGATTTGAAGTGAGGAATGGGATAATGCCTAACGTTTGAAGAGTTTATGAGAGTGTGGACTTGTGGTGGACTTTTGTTATTTGCATCGTGGACTTTGTGTTGTGGATATTTTGAATATACTGGGGAAATGTGGGGTAGGATTTGAGTTTTGGGGGAAGGATTGAAGAAAAGGTTTATGTAACCCCTCATAATGGGCACAGTGGGAGTGCAGAACCCGGAACTCGGCACAGGGATGGTGGGAACCCCTCATAATGGGCACAGTGGGAGTACAGACCCCGGAACTCAGCACAGGGATGGTGGGAACCCCTCATAATGGGCACAGAGGATGTACATACCGGGGAGCTCAGCACAGGGATGGTGGGAACTCCTCATAACGGGCACAGCAGGGGTACAGACCCGGGAACTCAGCACAGGGATGATGGGATGGGACCCCCCTCATAATGGGCACAGCAGGGGTACAGACCCGGGAACAAAGCACAGGGATGGCGGGAAGGTCAAGGATTTTGGTATTTGTACTTTTGATCTCCTGATTTGGCTTTATGTTCTCTTTCCTTGTAGGACATTTTGGCAGTGTGTACCATGGGACGTACAGAGAAGAGGATGGCCGGGAGGTGCACTGCGCCGTCAAGTCTCTCAACAGTGAGCACATATATGGGGTTCTGTGCGGTCGCCATGTTCTGGGGTCATCAGGGGCCCCATCTGACAGTGGGAGTCCTGCAACTGGGGCATCCTGGGACACTTAACCCATTTGCAGATTTGGATGGAGATGCTGTTATTAGACATGTGCGGTTCGGTTTGTTCGGAATCGAAATTCGGAAGAAATGGTCGTTATTCGGATGTATCCACATTTCCGAATTACAATAGTATCAAATTTAAACGAATCCAAAGTTACTGAATTAAATTTTGTTCTAAAATTCTAATCGAATTCGAAAAACAAAATTGAATTTGAAGGAAATCCACAATATTAAGCAATAGGTTTATATTTTGAATTTGTTTTCAAAGACTGTGCCTAATAGTGTTAGAATATAGCGATCTTCCGAAATTTGACGTTCGAAAAGAATAGAATAAAAATAGAATATAAAAGAATACAGAAGAATAAAACAGAATAGAAAATAAAATAATAGAATAGAAAATAAAGGCATCGCATAGAAATTAATGGATTAGAAAGAAATAGATTAGAATACAATAGAATAAAATACAATATAGCCATCTTCTAAATTTTGAATTTCAAAAAGAATAGAATAAAATTGAGTAAAACAGACTAGAAAATAAGAGAATAGAAAGGAATAGAGTGAAACAGAACATAATAGAAAATAAAAGAATAGAATAAAATAGAATAGAAAATAAAGGAATAGAAAGAAATGAATAGAACAGCAAATTAAAATAGAAAAGAATAGAATATAAAAGAATACAGAATAATAAAATAATAGAATAGAAAATAAAGGCATCGCATAGAAAATAATGAATTAGAAAGAAATAGATTAGAATACAATATAATAGAATAAAATACAATATAACCATCTTCTAAATTTCGAATTTCAAAAAGAATAGAATAAAATCAAAAAGAATTGAGTAAAACAGAATAGAAAATAAAAGAATAGAAAGGAATAGAGTGAAACAGAATAGAAAATAAAAGAATAGAAAGGAATAGAGTGAAACAGAATAGAAAATAAAAGAATAGAAAGGAATAGAGTGAAACAGAACATAACAGAAAATAAAAAAGAATAGAATAGAAAATAAAGGAATAAAAAGAAATGAATAGAAAATTAAAATAGAAAAGAATAGAATAGAAAAAAAAAATAGCATAGAGTAAAATAAAATATGTCTCTTGGGAAAAATGGCAAAACTTTACAGCAAATGTGAGAAAGTGAAATGTAGAATGGCATAGAATGGGTAGAGGGGTAGGATACGCTTGCTTTGGATAAAAAAAAAAAAAAAAAGTAGTGAAAAATGCAGAGTGGGGGGTTTTGGGGGGGGGGGGGGGGGGGAAGGGGGTAATGTTTTAAGAGGGGAAAAATAATAAAGTAATAAGAAATAAGTATATATTTATTATGAAAGAGATGAAAGTGTTTTGTTATTACTATGAAAAATCAATAAATATTTAAATAAATAAAAAAAATTAAATATGACTTCCAAAATTTGGATTTTGAAAATAATAGAACCAGCTATTCTTCACAATGAATTTGTATCAATTCAATATTTTCAATTTGGATTCGATTTGAATACAGTATATCAAATCCATTGGAAAAAAAAAAGCAAATAAACTAAACAAAACAAATTTTGTTACAAATGCAACGAAGCAAAATTAGTAACAACAAATCGCTCGGAAACTGAACACATTTTTTCGTTCTGCACGTCTAGCTAGACTCTGATAGATGTTAGGCTGCAGATTGGGTCCACCTGGAATTACAGCCGGAGGGCCAGCCAATGGGGAGGGAGCGGTTCCTTGTAGGCTATATGTACCTCTGAACTTGCCAAATAAAAATCAGAAGGAATTAAAGAGCGAGAAATCGATGAAGGGACTCAATGGTGGGTCCAGGGAAGCCTATAGACCTACAGTGATAACTATAGAAGCAGGGACTGTTCGAAATATCAAGGATTTGCATCATTTATGGGACATTTTGACTGATTTTCCGATGATGTCTGATTGTCGTGTTTCATCTTAGGGATAACGGATGTGGAGGAGGTGGAGGAGTTCCTTAGAGAAGGGATCCTGATGAAGAGCTTCCATCACCCGCATGTCTTGTCTCTCATTGGGATTTTCTTGCCACGGGATGGTCTTCCTCTGGTGGTCCTCCCGTACATGTCACATGGGGACCTGAGACACTTCATCCGCAGTGAGGACAGAGTAAGTCCGCAGTCCATTCCACTTGTTAGATTTCACTCGAAGGATCTAAACGTGGTTCTGATTTGTGTACCTTTGGGGCCCCCATCTGCCAGGACTACCATGGCTGCTTCACAGAAAAAGTCCATGGATAGAATTCCTCCATCATTCTGCAAATTCTCCGATACCTTGAAAGGACACACCTAAGCTTCCATCCTTGCAGATCCCTGGTTTGCAACTTGCGGACCTAGGGGCACATGTGGCCCTTTGGCACTCATTGTGTGGCCCTCAAGGCCTCTGCACTCACAATAGTCTAACAGTATCTGATTTCTTTCTGTAATTTCCATCCCCTTTCTATTTAAATACTTTTATAATGGATCCTGTTGTGATATTAATTGAATGTGAAACAAGTGTAGCGCCCTCCTAAGTAGCTAGGGGGTGCTCTAGTTCAAATAGTTAGTGAAGAGGGCTGAGTAGCAGCCTGGGTGTGATGGCTAGCAGAGTCAAAATTGGGTAAGAGTTGAGAGATTCTGCAGACCAGCCTTCTGGAATTTCCCCTTGCTCTAGAGCTTTGGAGAAAGATCTAGAAGCAGTGAGCGGATCTGAGGAGTGGCTGGTCTGTACTTTTAGAGAATGCTAGCCAATCCCCAACAAGAGGCTTGGAAAGGGGCTGGGACAACCTTTCAGGGTAACCGAGCCTGCTCAGCTGCAGGAGAGTGGGGAGGAGAGTGGAAGATGGAGAAGTGAAGCTGGAGTACAGGAATTTGGGAGGGAGCCCAGGCTTGAAGGGGCTCACCTCCAGGCATGATGCTGGAAAGGAGGAAAGCTTGGAACTTCGCTGTCCCCCTGAGAGAGGACCACCTGACAGGGAAGGAGCAGCCCAGCTTAAATGTCTGAAAGTAGCCACCGACCTACCGGCAACACAGGAGAGGGGCCAAGTGAGTGGACCTACACCCCGTGGGCCAGTAAGAGGAAAGAGGCACTCTGGTGGGAAACTGGATTAGCATTTTACCCGGGACTGTTCATATTGCAGAGGCAGGCACTGGATCCCCTGCCCAGGGAAACACTGGAAACATATGGATGAGGAGAGGATTCATCTAGGGGTTCGGGGTGGTACTACAGGAGATGCTGGCTAGCCCTCCAAGAAATACTGTGAGCTGTTAGAGAGACCTGTACATAGTTCAGGAAGATTGTCCTCCATTCCTTTTCCTTGGGCATCCCATACACCCCTCACCCCATCCAAGTTCAATTCCCCTAATAAAACTTCAAAACAAAGCCCAAGGCTGATTACTGCCTCCTGAACGTGAAGTCTGTTCGGAAATGTGTGTTGCCTGGCTGTGCAGAACCTTAGGTGGGACCCGAAATATTCAGCATCTCCTAAGGGGGTAGTGCTACACAAGAAATCTGTAGGGAGCACAAATGTGGAAGCATTGACTGTAATAGCAGTGATCCCTAACAGTCTCATGGAACGTGTCTTCAGTCTGTGACTGTCTGCAGTAGTATGTCCTCAGCCTCCAACAACTTCTATAGTTTGTCTGCAGTTTCTGACCATGTCTTGTATCTCTGACCATTATGTCTGCAGTCTCTGACCATCTCCTGTAGTATGTCCTCAGCCTCCAACAACTTCTATAGTTTGTCTGCAGTCTCTGACCATCTCCTGTAGTATCTCTGACCACCATCTCATGTACCATGTTTGCGGTCTCTGACCATCTCATGTACCATGTCTGCAGTCTCTGACCGTCTCCTGTAGCATGTCTGCAGTCCTTGACTGTCTCCTGTAGCATGTCTGCGGTCTCTGACCGTCTCCTGTAGCATGTCTGCAGTCTCTGACCATCTCCTGTAGCATGTCTGCAGTCTGACCATCTCCTGTAGCATTTCTGCAGTCCCTGACCATCTCCTGTAGTATGTTCGCAGCCTCTGACCGTCTTCTGTAGCATGTCTGCAGTCTCTGACCGTCTCCTGTAGCATGTCCGCAGTCTCTGACCGTCTCCCGTAGCATGTCCGCAGTCTCTGACCGTCTCCCGTAGCATGTCCGCAGCCTCTGACCGTCTCCCGTAGCATGTCCGCAGCCTCTGACCGTCCCTGTAGCATGTCCGCAGCCTCTGACCGTCTCCCGTAGCATGTCCGCAGCCTCTGACCGTCTCCCGTAGCATGTCCGCAGCCTCTGACCGTCTCCCGTAGCATGTCCGCAGCCTCTGACCGTCTCCCGTAGCATGTCCGCAGCCTCTGACCGTCTCCCGTAGCATGTCTGCAGCCTCTGACCGTCTCCCGTAGCATGTCTGCAGCCTCTGACCGTCTCCCGTAGCATGTCTGCAGCCTCTGACCGTCTCCCGTAGCATGTCTGCAGCCTCTGACCGTCTCCCGTAGCATGTCTGCAGCCTCTGACCGTCTCCCGTAGCATGTCTGCAGCCTCTGACCGTCTCCCGTAGCATGTCTGCAGCCTCTGACCGTCTCCCGTAGCATGTCTGCAGCCTCTGACCGTCTCCCGTAGCATGTCTGCAGCCTCTGACCGTCTCCCGTAGCATGTCTGCACCTCTGACCGTCTCCCGTAGCATGTCTGCAGCCTCTGACCGTCTCCCGTAGCATGTCTGCAGCCTCTGACCGTCTCCCGTAGCATGTCTGCAGCCTCTGACCGTCTCCCGTAGCATGTCTGCAGCCTCTGACCGTCTCCCGTAGCATGTCTGCAGCCTCTGACCGTCTCCCGTAGCATTCTGCAGTCTCTGACCATCTCCCGTAATATGTCTGCAGTCTCTGACCGTCTCCTGCTACATATCTGACACTCTGTCCCTGTCTCTAGATTGTGATCCCGTGTTGTCACCCTGCCATGCGGGCTTCCAATGAAGACTATGAAGTCTATCAATGTTTTCATCAGATTCACACAGCATTCACCCCAGATTCATTCATTTTTCAACTAAAATCTTATGTGGAAAAAATTGATAAATAGACCCTTATTAATGTCTGTTTCAGCACTCATCACACAGACATGGTTCATTGTTGTCACCATCAGGAAACCCGCCTTGAGAAATGCCATGCAGCCATTGCTGGAGGGCTTGTAGACATGAAGTGGCAGTTGTTTTTGATGCGCACAGAGAGAACTAGAGTTCGGGTTTACATCTAAAGGAAATCTTTGCTTTGATACAATGTTTGCTGAGACTTTATTAGCAGATGAGTACAAGTATACTGTATATTAATAATCTGATTCTCCGAACACACAGAACCCCACGGTGAAGGATCTGGTTGGGTTCGGTCTGCAAGTTTCCCGGGGAATGGAATATTTGGCCCAGGAGAAGTTTGTTCACCGAGATCTGGCGGCACGGAACTGCATGTGAGTGATTGTGGGGCCCATGGCCGACCTCTGAGTTTCAGCTAGTAATAGGAATTGTCTTCTAGTCACAGGAGAAAAAAATGCTGCAGTTGGTGATGAAGAGTTTCACCAGTTAGTAGTGGAAACACACCAGCAAAAATACAGTCCTGATAATTGTAAATTAGGGCAAGAGAGAGGCAGGGAGGCGGAGGCTCTGGAGAAGTCCTGAAGGGGAATTTGGGAGGAGGCAATGAGGGAGCTGGAGAGCAGGAGGTCTTGGGAGGAGGTGGAGAGGACAGTTTCGGCGATATATGGAGATAAGGTTGGTAATGTAGCTGGGGGTAGAGTTGTGGATTGCTTTGTAGGTTGTTGTTAGTATTTTTAATTTTATTCATTGGGTGATCAGAAGCCAGTGGAGGGATTGTCAGAGAGGGGTGGAGGACATAAAGGTGGAAGACCAGTGGAGGGATTTGCAGAGAAGGGTGGAGGACAATGAACAGAGGCCAGTGGAGCGATTGGCAGAGAGTGGTGGAGTATGTTGAGGGTAGAGGCCAGTGGAGAGATTGGCAGAGAAGGGTGAAGGACACTGAATGGAGTCCAGTGGAAGGATTGGCAGAGAGTGGTGGAGGACACCAAGGTGGGAGGCCAGTGGAGAGATTGGCAGAGAGGGGTGGAGGACAATGAGCAGAGGCCAGTGGAGTGATTGGCAGAGAGTGGTGGAATACACTGAGGGTAAAGGCAATGGGAGAGATTGGTAGAGAGAGGTGAAGGACAATGAATGGAGTCCAGTGGAAGAATTGGCTGAGAGGGATGAAGGACACTGAATGGAGTCCAGTGGAATAATTGGCTGAGAGGGATGAAGGACACTGAATGGAGTCCAGTGGAATAATTGGCTGAGAGGGATGATGGACACTGAATGGAGTCCAGTGGAAGAATTGGCTGAGAGGGATGAAGGACACAGAGAGGAGAGGCCAGTGGACGTATTGGCAGAGAGGGGTGGAGGACACTAAGTGGTTGGTAAGGTGGGTGAGCCTGGCAAGAGCATTCATGATGGACTGATGGGAAAGCATGTTTAGAGGTAGACCAACAAGGAGGGAGCTGCCATAGTTGAGGCGAGAGATAACAAGGGAGTGAATTAGTGTCTTGATGGGGCCATTGGTTGGGAAGGGTTGAATTTGTGAAAAGTTATTGAGGTGAAGATTTGGATAGTAACTCGATGTGGAGCTGAAAGGAGAGTTCTGAGTCCAGGATGACACCTATTTTCCTGGTATGAGTGGAGGGACTGATAGTTGTGTTATTGATCTTGATGGAAAGGTCAGGGGGCATGTCGGAGGTGCGGGAGAATCGGGTTACGTCATTATTTCAGTTCACAGACCGCATGTGGGTTTTGGGTGTCCCTTCATAATATCTCTTGTTGTGATTTTTCAGGCTGGATGACTTGTATCGGGTGAAGGTGGCAGATTTTGGTCTGGCTCGGGATGTCTTCGACAAGGAATACTACAGCGTGCGCCGTCATAAGAACGCTCGTCTGCCGGTGAAGTGGATGGCGATGGAGAGTTTACAGACACAGAAATTCACCACCAAGAGTGACGTGGTGAGAGGACCAGTCAATATAGATATTTGTTATGAAGCATATTGATCTTTTTATATGAAATAATAATTATATTTCCTTCTTGCAGTGGTCATTCGGGGTGCTGCTGTGGGAGCTGATGACTCGGGGAGCCCCACCATATCCAGACGTAGACCCCTATGACATCACCACCCGGTACCTGTTCAGGGGGAGACGCCTCCCGCAGCCAGAGTTCTGCCCTGACCCATTGTGAGTACCTCTACTCTGCCACATCTCTGCCCATAACCACACCTGGAGGAAGGGGTTTTTAGGCCACTTTAGAAAATTATCGCCACTTTCTGGCATTTATTTTTCATTTTAGGAAGACCTAATTGGCCATAAATTTGTTATCTTTCAGAATGACATCCTGGGGGATCTGCTGGGTTTTAACACACTCTACTGCCTTTCCTGCACCCAGACACTCGCATACCCTCTAGTAGCAACAATCAGAGAGATGTCAAGACTTCCAGTTGTCTTTTGCAAAAATGTTGGTTTAACTGTCTAGGGAGAGAGGGTTGAGGGTGCAGGATACCCAAAATAATAGCAGCAAAAAATCCCTTTGCTGAGTAGTATCTTCTGGTATCTTTTGACCTCTGCCACAAGCTAATGTAGAACTCTGTAGGCCCTGATGGGTGACGGCCTTTATATATCTTTGACCTCTGCCTTCAAACCTCTAAGTCTACATGGGCAACTGTCGATCAGAACTTTTTCTTCCGCTCTCTAGTCCAAGTGTAGGCCAAGCAGGTCAGATACTAGATCTCTCTAAAGCTACACCCTCCCCTGGCAGCAAGCCTTGGAGGCTAGGACCTCTGTTCTCACATCCCGGAGGCAACAACTGGATCCTGCTAAACACACATTCTCACGAGGCAGGCAAGGACCCTTCTAGAAGGTCCCTCGTGCTCCCTATGCTGTCCAGTTTGTCCAAAGGGGAGAACAAGGGGGCACAGCAAGCTTCTCCCTCTCTCCTAGCCTTTCTCCTTCCTTCTACATCCTTAGAAAAAAAATGCAAGGACCCTTCTCCAGCTCCTCCCCTGAAGGGGAAAGCATGACCACCTTCAGCAGACCTTCTCTCTCTAATTGTCTCCTGGCTAAGATGAGCCCTAGCTCCACCCACCTTATATCTCTTAAGGCACTCAACCAGTAGGATGGGCAACCCTAAGTGAAACTCTATCTGCCTCCACCTGCCTACAAGCAGACAGACACAAACAATGTCCTTGGGTTTCAGAAACACATCTGTCCTCCTCCAAGTCCCTGTTTGATCCTCTATCCTCCTCTGTGTCTCTGTTTGATCCTTTATCCTCTTCTTTGTCCCTGTTTGATACTTTTTCCTCCTCTGAGTCCCTGTTTGATCCTCTATCCTCCTCTGTGTCTCTGTTTGATCCTTTATCCTCTTTGTCTGTGGCAGGTGCAGCACCCTTTGGTGCCTAGTGCGCTGTGGCATTAGAAAAATTATGCAATTGCTGTTCTTTTGTTTGATTAGACTGACTTTACTCTGTAATTCCTCCAATGCCGCTCTATGGATGCAGTAGGTTTAAAGAGCACACCGAATACTTAGTTAACTTCTTTAATAACTTCAGTCTTCTTCATATAAACTGCTTACAATGGCTTATTTCTTTCATATTACAATGGTTTAACTTGTATTACATTGGGTTGATTCAATAGATTGATAAATTTGTTAGATTCAGTAAATTCGATTTGCTATATTCGATTCGTTCGGAAGTTTGTAAATTTGTTCGGTGGAACTACAAGTAAAACACACACAACAGTTTCAACACACAGATCCACCTGCACTGCCAAACAATAGAGGAACACACAAGTGCATTAAATACCTATTTGGCCTTCTCTGCCTCCATAAAGCTCTTCTGATTGGAACTGTGTGTTTCCTCTTCTGTCTGGTGAGCATGTGTCTCTAGAAAATCCTAGCAGGGAGTTTTACACAGGCATAGATGTGAAACTGGCTGGGATTGGTTAAGGCTCTGTACAGTGTGAGGCTGTCTGTGATTGGCTCATCTTTAACTAACTCTTAAAGGCATATTTTCCTTTTCTGCTTCTGCTAACACAATGAATATATAAATGTCATATAACAATCAAAGACATCAATTACAGCAATGATTTTGCTTTTGGCTTTAACATATGTACATATACACTGTACTGAGGTTATTGGCAGGTTTGGTATACACATATATGTGATCCATATTAACAACCTAGGACTGGTCTTAGCTGGCCAGCTACAGTGTCCCTGTTTGATCCTCTATCCTCCTCTGTGTCTCTGTTTGATCCTCTATCCTCCTCTGTGTCCCTGTTTGATCCTCTATCCTCCTCTGTGGCTCTCTTTAATCCTCTATCCTCCTCTGTGGCTCTCTTTGATCCTCTATCCTCCTCTGTGGCTCTCTTTGATCTTCTATCCTCCTCTGTGGCTCTCTTTGATCCTCTATCCTCCTCTGTGGCTCTCTTTGATCCTCTATCCTCCTCTGTGGCTCTTTGATCGTCTATCCTCCTCTGTGTCCCCGTTTGATCCTTTATCCTCCTCTGTGTCCCCGTTTGATCCTTTATCCTCCTCTGTGTCCCCGTTTGATCCTTTATCCTCCTCTGTGTCCCCGTTTGATCCTTTATCCTCCTCAGTGTCTGTTTGATCCTCTATCCTCCTCAGTGCCTGTTTGATCCTCTATCCTTCTGTGTCCCCGCAGATACACCCTCATGTTGCAGTGTTGGAGCCCGCACCCAGACGAGCGACCCACCTTCACCCAACTGGTCAGCGAGATGGAGACCATTTCCAACTACCTGATGGGGGATCACTACATCAATCTGAATGTGACCTACATCAATCTGGACCGGGACCAGCCTTT